TGTTCCTTCTGAAATGAAGCATTGCAAAGATCACAGTCTGACTGTGACTGAGGGCATCTCCTGCAAGTGTATTCTTGCTGGAGAATACAAAGCCCTTTGGGGTAATTTTACATGTTTCTGTCTATGTTTCTTCTCTAAACTGCCACTTTTCTAAATAACCAGAGGTTATTTCTCTTTTTTGACTGTAGAGGGAATCTAGGGAGAGTAGTCTTTCTATGCGAAAGCTAAGTTTTGTAAATGCCAGTCCTAACTATCTTCTTTCATCAAAACCAATAATTATCAGGCGCACAGTCACTATAAGGTGTGTGAGCATCTTTTGAAAGTGTTCAGGATACATTTCCCATAAGCAAATGTCCCCAGTGCTTGGAAACAATTGAGTGCCTCTTTGAAAGATATACAGTGTCCATTTCTCTCGGAGATGCAATGGTCACTACGCCTACAATATTATTTCCCAATATTTTCTGTTGTTACTCATTTGTACTTAAGCAGCTCCTGCAGCAGACATCTTATCAAATGCCCCTCTGTTCCAGAGGACCTTGTAGGTTGGAGTGAGGGAGGACAGGGATCAGGGTGGGAAAACAGAGTACTGGATGTGACACAGTCATCTCCTGTCAGTTCTGTGTGCCTGTGGTTATTTGTAAAGATCAACCCAGGAGCAGGGCAGGTAGAAAACTGTTGTTCTTGAGTCAGCACCAAGGCTTGTGTGAGGCTGAACTGGGTTGTCTGCTTTCTCACTGATGTGGGACCCGCAAAGAGTTCTGAACAATTTGGAGATCAGTGAAAAAGGAGTGAAAAAGGAGGCTACAAGAATGAAACAGTTATCCTACGTTAAGCAAGTCATCTGCTGAGGAGTCTGTCTCTAGATGAAGGAAATGAGGTTTCAGGTGACAGCCCTGGATGGACCTTCTGGTTGTGAGAAGCAAGTGACTCTAGAAGTTCACCAGCCATCATAACAAAACACAGTCGTCTTCGGCAAGTTTGGACTACTAGAGCATAACAATAGCAACAGAGAAGAAAGATACTTGGGAAAACATATATCTTCCTACTACAAAGCTAATTATGGGACTTTGAAATGATGATAATATATTGCTATTAAAAAATGAAAAATGATTCATATGTATAGCTATAGACCAGTTTGCCTGATCTCACTTGCAAAAAAAAAATAATTGATGTCGAAGCCAGTGAATAAAATATTACAGAATGGGAATTATTAGGTATTCCTATTCAAGGATTATAATTTTATGACAAAGAGGTCATCTCTAACAAAACCATTTTCTTTCTGTGGGGAGTTACAGTTTGGTTGATATGGTAACTACCTAGATATAATACATCTGTTCTTAGGCATTGTTATTGCCTGTTGAATGACATTTGCATTAAAAAGTAACACGCTAAAATGGATTAAGAGCTGACTGATCTCATGTAGTGCAACCATAAAAGGGATATATAGCAGTTCTGGTGCTATTAAAAATTTCCATGAACAACATGGACATAAACGGAAAATTTTTGCTGATAAAATTTGTGGATAAAACAAAGGGTTGACAGAATATTACATAAAGTTGAGGACAAGGAAGTAGTTTTAAACAATATGTATTTGAAAGCAACTACAAGCTCATACAGATTTGAATGACGGCCAGAGAGGACGTAACAAGGACCAGCGGCTGAAAGCTCGGGTCAGTCAGTTGTATCTTTTTTGCAAACCTGTAAATGTTTACAAATTAGTAGAGATGTAGCTGCAGTGCAGATTTTATTACTCTTTCTGCCATTTGCAGTGCAAATCCTCCAAGTGCTGCGAGTGTTTGCTCAAAGTTTGGCCAGGCAGTAGCAGAAAGAATAGGCATAAACACTCTTCTTTGATCTTAAAATGTTCACTTACCTTAGGGATCTCATAGAAAGGCTCCACAGGAGAGGAACGGCTTTCGTCTTGCCTTTCCTGTCAGTGCACCCCTGGGTGTAGCAATGAGACCCGATTGCTGGTTGGGACCGATAGATGTGCTGTCAGTCTGGCACACGGCTCTTTTGGACACAAGTAGCCGTGCTGCTAATCTGGATGGTAAAGCACTAACCTCTTTTGTGCCTCTGTGAATTATTCTGTAGCTGGAAAGTGAGCATTGCAATTGTTTTCTTTCCCTTGTGGACTGTTTATGCTTGTGCCTTAGATGCAGACAGGAAGGGAGAAGCCAAAAGGAGCACAGGACGTGTAAAATGAAGGCCAAAGTGAGGCCACAGTTCTTTAAGAGGTAATAAGAGATTTAAAGGACAGGGCTAGAAGAAAAGAATCATTTTATTAACATTGGCATTTCTATTTTTTGTGGTAAGACAGTTCTGCACTAAGGCCAAGCGGATGAGTTTGCTGTATAGTCCTCGTTCCAAAATAAAAGCTAAAACCAGGAAGATTTTGCTAGCTCATACCTCCCTGCTAGGAAGCCACGGTACTTTCTAATTGGACTTGATGGAGAGTGTGTGATGTCCTTAAAGATTGGAGTGATAATTTATGTATCTATAATTCAGACATTACCTCCCTGTTGCATGAAGAGGTACACTGCTGTGTCTGAGATGTTTTAGTCTTCCCTGTGTATCTCTCAGGAGTCCTGGGCAGCAAAGTTGAATGACATTTTTGTGATTTTATTCATGACTTCCATTTGTTTACTCTTTATTTGGGGGAATTTTGCTCATTTTGATTTCTTATGTTGCTTATTTTACTGCGTAGCCGTACATCTTGCAGTTCCGAGACGGGCTCAGAAGTGCTGTTTACTGCACTGACTCAGTGCCTGTAACCAAAAGATCATTTGTTGTTAACAAAACCAAAATTCAATGCATCAGTATATCATCTGCACAGGGCTTCTGACACTTCTAAGCAAATCTTTTGTCAGTACAGCTTAGTTTTGAATGGGAATAGAGGTGGCCTATCTTTGGCTCTTGCAAGCCTTAATGGTTTAAAAGTTTTTCAACTTTTAAAGTTCTCCGAAAAGAGAAGAGGCTCCCTATTGTGTTGGAAAGTTGTGCAGACCTCTGATGGAGGGGAGCCTAGCACATGGTTTCACCTGTCTGATGTTAAGACATAAGCGGGTTTGACTGAAGTATCCTGGCTTTCAAACCAACAGGCATCAGGGAGCACAAGAGACCTCTGGCTAAAATTTGCACGAAGTGACCCTGTGCATCAATCAGTATTGGTTCCTGGCGTGGTGAAAAAAAAAAAGTGACTACTCTGAATTTTATCTATAGAAGCAGCAGCCCTAAAGATGGTCCAATGAAAATCTGACATGCCCTGGGTAACACACACTTGCATGAGCAACCACTCTCTGGCCTCCCTCACTGCTGCGGCAAAGGGGTGGCTGAATGTGTTCGACTGCTTTTGATTGCTGTGTTGGGTGTTGGGGCTTCTGGCAATGGCTTTTACAGTCCCCTTTGGTTCCACTGAGCTGAGTGCCACATCTGCAGCCGATAATCTGGACCGTAAATTCATTAGCACAATAAAGCAGGAAAAATACCTGATTTCATTGCTAGGCTTAACCAAACATTGTGGAATATTGGATTTTTTACTGAGAGTCAGGAAGCAGGAGGAGAGATATAGGGCCCGCTGGCAGTGTCCTCAGAAAAGTCTTTATTTGTCTCAAGATTTTGGATGTAGCGTCACACACAATTCAAGGTAGACCTGCTGTAGAAAGTCTTCAGAGAGCCCTGAGAGATTGTGCCCCATTGGTGAGGGCATTTCCTGGGCTTGGGTCACCCTCAGCTCCTGGCTCCCCATCCCTTAGGGAGCAGTTGGCCCTTGCTGCTCCTTCACAAGCACAACAATGAATGATACTGAAGGAATAACATACTAAACACCAGGTGGAGACGATGCTAAATACCATATGCATCAAGATAAGTATTGCAACTGCAAAGGATATGCGTATTAGCATGTGTGCAACTGGGCAAATGAAGGAATGGGACTTGGCTGTCCTCACCTGGCTGTTCTTTAAATCAGAGAAAGGACATGAATGTGGGGCTGTGCAAGCGGTGAAAAGTCAGGGGTTCATTTTTATATTCTTATTAAACTGATTCCTTGAGTTACCTGTCCCCAGTGTCTACAGGTGTGCAATTACCTATCGATCTGGGAAAACAAAGCATAAATAAATGTTACTTCAAAGAAATGGCAGGTAAGGGGTGGATAGGTAGACAGTTCTCTGCAGAAAAGCGTTTACCTGTGATTGTGTTGACACTCATTAGGAGCATGAAAAATGGCTGACAAAGGCTGGGTACTTTCATGACTTTTTTGAAACCTGTGTGTAGGGGTGAATATTCTTCAAAGTTTTAGTCATATTTAACGCTGCTTTCTGCTTGAACAAACTCAAGGAGCAGACACCTAAATAGTCATGGTCCTGGAGGAGTGTTAACAGGGGAATCACATGTAATACAGTAAGATATAGGAGAGCGGGCTTCACTTTTTGTCTCTGACACTGGCCTGTGATGGGACCTTGTTGTGACTAAAGTCACTTCATCGCTCTATGCTCTGGATTCCCTTTCCTGTCTTAGCACTTTAGGTTTGAGATTTTTCTGAGTAGGAGCTATCCTTTCTGAAATGTTTGAGCAGCACCCCAATGTCAGTTGAGCCTTCAGAAATTCCCTTCCAACAAATCTGAGAGTGGAATAATATTTTCAATTTTCTTCAGTTTTTGTGACCTTCATGTAGATTTACACACTAGTGAAAGAGAAAAACCCAGAGTGATGTCCCAGCTGAGGGAAAGGCTCAGATCATCTATTCTGTTTGGCTTCTTGGCTAGCCAGTCAGCAAAAAGTGGCTCAAAACTAGACACAGTGTGTTGGGTCCGATAGGGGTTAGGGGATAGGATAGGGGAAGGGTAATTTAGGGCATGCAGAGAGAGGTAACCAGAATTATTGCTGTGGGACCATGCGCAAGTGTTGGACAAAACCCAAGAGATCAGCTTTTGTTAGTACTATAGCGTCCAAAATGATGTGTTTACCTGTGATAATTTTATACTGGTTCTTTTGCTTTCCAGATGTTCTGTGTCCAAATGTCCACGTGGAAGGAGATCGATTCAAACACACCAGTGGAGGGACTGATGAGATTCCAGGTAGACACACTTTTCTCCTGTACCTCTGGGAATTGAAATAATGTAACTGTACATTTCTAGTGTGATGTTCTGATTCATTACACCTTTCCTAGTTGGCATTTTCTTAATCCAACACATATTCAGTGGTGGAGAAGGACATTAGAAACTGCGGGGCTGGAAAAGAGTTGTCTGTTGACAAACTGTCATCAAGCAAACTAATCATGAGCTTTCTTTTGATATGACAGCAAATTAAAAAGCCAATGGAGCTTAGTGTAGTAGATAGAGTAATGCAGTAAGTCTTGGAGATTACTTTTTTTTTTTACCACTCCATGTTTGGTGAGTTTTAATATCCGTTTATTTGATCTGTGATTGTTGTGGGACATCCAAGCACAATGGTAATTACCACTGCAGAAATGCTTATGTATGTGTATAAGAAAAAAAAGAAAAGATAAAAAGCCCCAAGAAGAACCATCTTTTCTGAAATGCTGGAGAAAAATCAAGAGGAAAGCCAGTCTGGTGATATCTCTGCTTTTCTGTGAGTTCTGATATATCTTTCCAGCCAGATGAAGGACTTAATCTGTCAGATATATGCGTGGGCTGCACCTCTTTTCTAGCTCCCCAAGACTGTTTGAGCTGTTGGCAGAGAAAAGATGCCCATCAAGGATGTACTGGGAATATCTGTGACTGACCCAAGAACATAAGTCACTGCAGTGGGAGGCCGGAGGCTCTTCTGCAATTTGATTATGAGTAGAAATGGTCAAGGTTTGACAGCTCTGCTACTCGCTCAGGGTTTTTTCATTGGGGGATTTTCACTGCCTGCACAAAATATCAGTTCCAACTGTGCTGTCTGTAGGCAGCTTATTTTGGCTGCAGTCTGATTACATCTAAGCCTGTGATAATGCTGGGTGGTAACATCTTTTCTGGTCATTAGACCCAAACTCATAATCCCGAAACACCCATTTTCAACTGCTGTCTATTGCTAGGTCTTGCATCAACTTGTTCTGACAGTCCTCCTGTCACTGGGCTGTATTCAGCAAATAGCCCTACTGATTCTGAATGAACCTATTCGCAGTGGAAGCTGCTGCTCAAAATGAGTGGGAGGATTGTGTCTCTCCTCAGATGATCGTCTTCTGTGTGATCCTTTCCAGAAGATGTTGCAAATGGCTGTCTATGTCTAATCTGTGTTTATCTGAGTGGAATTTTAATTCATGTGCTAATTAATAGACTCTATGCTTTTATCTGACTTCAAAAATATAAATATTCTGTTGAACAGTATAAAGGACAAGCATCCCACTTCAGGTCTGGTGCAGAAGTTTAGAGTAGAGTGAGGTGTAGATACATATATGCATATATATTTATATATCATAGAATCATAGAATAGTTTGGGTTGGAAGGGACCTCTAAAGGTCATCTAGTCCAACCCCCCTGCTGTGGGCAGGGACATCTTCAACTAGATCAGGTTGCACAGCCCCGTCCAACCTGACCTTGAATGTTTCCAGGGATGGGGAAACATTCAAGGTCAGGTTAGGCAGAGCTCTGAGTATATATGTATATACTTAAGCTCTTCTGTAAAGTTTTTGACTTAGTTTTCCTTTTATCTTCAAATCCCACTTCCCTCCTAGACAGCAAGTCAATATTCAGCATTTTAACTTAAAAGATGACTATTTTAACTTAAAAGATGACTTTGCAGTCTTAGATCTGTAGATTATTTCAGGCTGGAAGGGACCTATGGAAATCATCTGGTCCAACCTCCTACTGAAAGCAGGGCCTACTTCAAATTTAGGTCCACTTTGAAGTTAGAACAGGTTGTTCAGGGCTTCGTACAATTGTGTTTTGAGTATCTCCAAAGATGGGCATTCCACAGGTCCTCTGGGCACCTGTTCCAGTTTGGTCACTATCACACTGATTATTTTTTTTTCCCCTAATACCTAATCAGAATTTCCTTTATTGCAACATGTCTGTTCCCCTGGTTAGACTGACATTTATTTGACCCAGGGGACCTCTGTTCACTGTGAAGTGTAAACATTCACCATGCCATGCAGTGACTTAATAACAAGATTGTTATATTATTTGATTGAAGTGACGTGCCTGGCCCCTCTTCACCAATCAAGAGGATTTGTAGGAGGCCCCTGATTGCTCTTATGCGGTGTGACAACAATGATCTCTTTCTCTTCCTGTTCCTGGTGATTAGGAAATTGTCTGCCTTTCCTCTGGAAAAAGTTGAATGGATATTCTGGGTCTGCTAAAGGTCATTGTGCTGGTGGAGATGGATCAGTATAGGACCAAAATGCTGTTCCACTCCTTATGTTCTCCTTACATATTCCATAGCATTTTCTGAAGACTGTGGGCCCCTGGGTCCAAATACAACAGAAAATCATTGCCTTCTCCCAGCTAAAGTAACTGGAAAATTTCTGTTGGCTTAGTATGCTATGTTTCCTCTTCCAAAAGGATGTGTTGTGCTGTTACTTGTTGGTGAAAGGCTTTTCTGTTTTGCTCCAGAGGACTGCGCTTCAGTTTTGAGAAGCAGCCTGCCTCCTGCTCCCTCACACTTGTCAGAGCATTTCAGCTCTGGAATTTCTGCGGATTCACTGCTGACAGCACTGGGGGAGGCTGTTCCTCTGCTACCCAGGTCCTCATGTGTTCAAGGATTTGAAGTTAACGCCTGTATCTTGTGTTCCACTTGGAAGCTTAATGACAACCAAAATTGATCCTTGCCCAGCAAGCTCCTAACACAGAACTTCATAGATATATCTTGCACAAGCTTGTTTCTAGATGGACGCAAAGTGCAGCCCCATAGAGTGGGAGTTGCAATAAATTTCATTTTGGGGACAGGGAAGACAATATTAAAAGGCTTCTCAGATTAAACACCTCTTCCCTCTCTTAGACAGGGACAAAACATCAGAACTGAAGGTAAAAGGGACAAAAGTCTTTCTGGGGATTCTTTTTTCTTATATTTTTATTGGGTGACATGCATGGGCAGATGGTACAGGCAATTCTTTCACACGAAACATCACCAATGCCAGTCCTTTCGTGTACACCCTACCTGCATACAAGTTATAGCATGACCTGCTACCTTTAAGTCTGTGTCTGTAGTTAAGTGAATGTGAATTGAGTCACCCTGGATTAGTAGAAGTAAAAATAGAAGCTAAATCATAAAATGAGCTATAAAAGGACAAACGTTGGGTATTGAAGGGAACCAGCAGTGTGACTGAGAGGTGGAAGTTGCATGGGATGTTGTTAAGTCAGAGGCTGAGAGTGTGGGTGAGGAGGATGGCTCCATGCATAATCAAGTGAATAACTGCATCAAAAAGAACATTATGAGCTGGAAGAGAGCCAACAGCCTAAACTGATATTTTCCTTTTAAAAGACACGTGATTTTTTTCTTTAGACAAACAGAACTAAGTAAATCTCATCTCTCTGGACTTCAGCAAGCATTTGTTGAGTACTGTATTGAAAATCACTGCTAAAGTGAAAAAGGGTAGAGATTAATCAAAGTTGTAAAGGGAGCCAGAAACTGGCTAGCAGGGAGATAATGATGAAGTTTCTAGGAAAGGGAATAACAAGCCAGAGAGCAGACAGTGGTGGACCTCCTCAGGGTCCAGTTTTAGGTCTAATCTTCTCTGTGAATTACCACTATATAGATTGGGATCGGAATATCCTTGAAGGAGGAACTGGTTGGCCTCAAAAATCTGGGAGTTCTTCCAACTGACTTGAGACTATTGGTTTAAAAGGCCTGTTATGGTACTTATGGATCAATAACAGGACTTTGTGCTATAAACTCATACTCTGGAAACTGATGGTGTCTTAGGCAGCTGATGTTTTTAAGTCACAGTGCTGTACAGCTGGGGAAAAAGGCAAAGGACAGTATTGGACAAGGTAAAGTAGGTCTTGTAGAGATAGGGAAGAATTCATGAGGGTGGACAGGGCTTTGGTTACTGCTTGTCTAGAAAAGTGTGCTCAGACCTCCTTAGCTCAGGAAAGATGGATTCAGCCTCATGGAGCTATTAGTGTGTTCAGGAGCCAGAGAGACTATTTTCAAACAGGAGATTCAAAAAATGGGTCTGGTTAATCTTCCAGTGTGCAGGTGGAAAGGGGAGATACTACTGCTTTCTGCAAATATATCAGGGGAACAGCGGAAGGGGGATAGGGGAATCACTCAAGCTAACGGACAAAAAGTATATAAGAAATGGGTATCAACTGTTTAAGAGATACATTCAAGACTTTAGAAGAAGGTTTCAAACTGTCAGAGATATGAAGTACTGGAACGAGCGGTGAAGCAGTAGTAATGGAGACAAATAAACAGTGATGGACAGTCATGAGTCCTCTCATAGCAGAGGATTGTACTCTATGACCCTCTGGTATCATAGCATTTAAATAACAAGTCACTAGTTGTAGCATTCGGTAAGGGCTGCCACAGTGAAATAGGATTGCATGAGGTAAGAATATATAGGCAGCTTTACTCTACTACTGATAGAAATTTTGGCAGTGAAGTGAAGCGGCATCTGCTTAACAGTTCATAACACGTAAATTCAGAATATAAATGTTGCTGCATGCATTAGAAATCACACAGGGAATTTTGAAAGAAAGCAAGAAATCTGGTTAGAATACCAGGATAAACACTGTTTCTCTTCCAGAAAGTCTGATATTTTAAAGCAATGCTTAATGATACTTTAAACAAGGTCTTACAGCATCCTTGTGGGTAGCATGTTTTTTTATCAAGTAGAGAAATGAAGACAAAAGAGGGTTTAACTCATCTGCCCTGAAGTGTTCAAAATAAAACCCCAGTTGTAATACTTAATATCTCTTATATTGCTGAATTGTCATTTTGGTTCCATCAACATTTAACAAAGGATCATGGCCTACTATTAATCATGACCAGGCAGGAAAAGACAATGATAACATTTTGTACCCTGAAGATGTGCCCCTTGTGTATTTTTATGAACCATTACATTGCATCGAAACAGCACATGAAAGTTATTGAAAATGAATTGTACTTCCTGAGGTTTTAAAATTTCACATTT